CGGTAACCCGCCACCGCCGCCTGGACAGCCCCCAGCTGGAGAACAGCCACCCTCTCCGGGAGGCGATGATGGTCCACTACCTGGCAGTGGAGGAGGCGGAGGCGGAGGTGAAGGAACGCGCGGTTCTCCATCATCACCCCCTGGATGAGACGACAACTCGTTCATGGACCTCTCCAGTGCGACGCCACAGAGGCGTCCTAGGACAGCGGATGCACCACCATCGCTACCACCAACGCAACCGCCGACGGCGATTGCGCAGCATAACTTCGGGAATGTCGAGGACGCCCCGGGGAACCGTCGAGCTCATGCAGCTGCTGAGTGGCTTCGCCGAAAATAAGGAGGTGACGAACTTATCACAGGTGGAGGGGCCTCTGGCAGCGGATCAGCACCAGCACCTTCGGAAGGAGACCTTCCGCCTGCGCCTGCGCATCTACCTGGCGCGCCCCCCGCCTTGCCAGACCCAGACTCAGGAGCTGCTGCTGCTGCGCCAGAACAAGAGCCAGACGACGCCCCCTCATCAGAACAAAGCCACCCCGAACAACCCGAGGCACCACGTGAACAGCCTGCTGCCGAGACGACGGTCATTCATCAGATGCCGATAGTTCCGGGCCCGAAGGACTTCGCAAGTGGAGCAGGGCCGCGGAGGAGCAAGTCCGCAGGGATACCATCGCACGAAAATGACGAGACCCTGAAGAACAACGCGGAAGCAAAAACGCAACGACGAGTTCATCAAGAAGACGCCCCGCGCGCGCAAAAGCGAGATCGGTTCGATGAGATAGAGGATTGGAGCAAGGCTGCCACGCGCAAGGACCTCTTAGACGACCTGCCGAAATGCTTCAAGAGGCCCAAGGGCACCTCCGAGACCGACCTACTTGGACAACTACCTCAGGTGCAACGCCGACGAGCTGCACTCATCCATCAGGATCCGGGAGGTCATGCTTACTGGAAAGGCCGCAGGTAAGGATATCAAGTACGATTATCTCTGTTTCAGTGAGAAGAGGCTCGTGGATGAAGCCATGAAGGTCGAGTGGTCAAGGTGAACAGATTTCGGCGCCTACAAGAAGCTGACGCCTAAGGAGCTGAATGATATCCCCAGGCGCCACGGCGACATGCGACCTGCGGGCGCCCGTTGGGCGTTCACCCGCACGGCCCAGAACCTCATGGAGGCCCGCCTTGTCGCCCCGGGATGCCAAGAGGACAAGTCCCAAATCCGCACTGACGCGCCTGCCGGGTCGAGGGGCGCGCTCTACCTTGCGCTGGTCGCCGCCGCCCAGTCAGGCCGGGACCTCGCGTTCTACGACGCGATGACGGCCTACCTCCAGTCAGGCAACATCGAGAGGCCGCTACTGTTGCGCATGCCAGCCAATAACCCACCGCCAGGGACTTTGCCTGGTGGAATTGCGATGGCGGCCAGCGCTATCTATGGCACCAGAGACGCCGGCCGACAGTGGCATCTCTCCGTTCAGAAGGTGTTCCAGGAGCACGGCCTTGTCGAGGGCAAGCTCGCGACGAGGCTCTACTACTTCTACGACGACAAGGGCCTCGCTGCCATGATCCATTCGCACGCGGATGATTTCCTGATCGCCCAGCGCGGCGACTCCAGCACGTGGAAGCGGGCCATGGCCTTTCTGGAGAAGAAGCTGCACCTCAAGAAGGTCGAGGGCATCGTCAACCATTGCGGCCGGACCATCACCAAGTCCGACGAGGAGTGCCACATCACCCAGGCGACAGCCGCCGCGCAGGTGGATCTCGCCGAGCTAAAGAGTCAACGTGGACGATCACCAGAAGATCGACTTACTACCTCGGAAGTCTCGGGCTACCGCCACGCACTCGGTCAGCTGCTGTGGCTTGCAGCCCAAACCCGAGTGGGCATCGACTGCCCGGTGAGCATGGCAGCTCGCCATGCGAACGTCGCCACGGTGGCTGGCGCCAAGACGCTGAACAAGACTGTCACCTATGTGCGCGGGTCCGCCGACTTCGCCATCGTGATCAAGCGGAATATCGTAGACCTGATCACTTGCGCAACGATTTGCTTCAGCGACGCCGCTTTCGTTGATGTGGACGGGATCAAGAGCCAGTGGGGAATGGCGATGGGCCTGACCCACAGGCCGCGCGGTGTCGTGGCAGGACCATATGACCGATGCCTGCCAGTAGCCTGGCACTCGGGCACGGTCAAGCGCTCGGTGAAGTCGACGCTGGCGGCCGAGGGCTATGCGGCTCTCGAAGGAGCCGAGACGAACGCATGGTTCCGCCAGTTGATCACGGAGGCCTACAACCCGAAGGAGCCGCCCCGCAGGATCGACGACCTCAGCCAGGCACGCCCGGGGGAGATCTACACGGAGAGCAACGGCCTGGCCGTTCACATCAGGTGACGCGTGCCAGTCCACCGACAAGTGGTTCCAGATCGTCGCGGCGCTGATCAAGGAGTCCGTACAGCCCAACAGCCACCTGAAGCTCACATGGGTTCCAACATGGAGCGTGGTCGCTGATGCACTCACCAAGAATATGGAGACGGGAGTGCCGCTCGCCTTCTTCGGCGCCCAGAAGCAGCACACCTTCGGGGCGCGGCAGCCGCGCGCCGCCATGCTCGCCTCTGTGCTCGCGACCTGCCTTGGCCGCATCAAGGGCAGCCTGCGCCTATGTTTACGACGCCTGATAACATCCTTTATTGGTGCACGTGGTATCTCATGACGATGATTTGGTGGTTGGTATCATTGCTGGATATGGTGTCCATGCTACGATGTGATTTGTGATGCGCCGGAATACCTGGATACACGATGACATGAGGAGCGAAGAGAAGGAATCAGACATCGCAGCCAGACACCATCCAGGATGGGTCGGACGCCGCCTCGGCCGGCGTCACCACGACAGGCCAGGCACGGTCCCCGAGGACGACGATGGAGATGTGCGGATGGAGTCAGCACCAGTGTTCTTTCCCTCGCAGAGCCAGTCATCATCCTCAGCCATTGGCTCAGCAGCACCAGCGTCAGCTGCGCCTGCGTCGCCGCAGGGGTCGAGTGCACCATCAACGCCCGTGACGACTTCCAGCTCATCATCAGCAGGTGTTGTTTCGTGGATCGGATCGACACCTACGGATCGACACCTCGAGTGCGTCATCAACCAGCACAGCGCTCGAGTTTCGGGGCTCCGCCAGAATCGCCCGCCCAGCGCTCCAGATTCACGAGCATGCATCACAGTTTGCGCTGGGACCTGCAGAACAGGTGGATTCAGATGATGGGGGCCGAAAGGCCCAAGCCCGCGAAAAGTAAGAAGAAGAAGAAGATCGCGCGAAGCATGCCGCCGCTCTGCGCCGCCATTCGATTCCTTTTTGCTCACTTGGGCCGTCACCCATGGTGGCCGACTACGCAAGGCAAAATTGGAGTAGTGGGGTTGCCGCGCCTGGCGCCCACCAGCCAGGAATGCTTCGCTCAGCGTGCGCAGTTTTTTTTGTTTTGTTATTATTATTTTTCTTCTTATTATTATTATTCTTTTTCTCCGGGTGGTGACGACCACCCGTCTATCTGTTTTCTTTCTTACTCATAAATATACTGGCCGCGAGCCAGCGCCTAGAGCCTGCCAGAATTTATTTTTCTGCCGGTGCGTGTAGCAGCACCCGTTAAATGTCCTGGGGCAGCCGGATTGCACGACGGCGAGATGCCGCGTTCGGCACCCGCTAATGTGATTAATGCAGCCGTGAGTGACGTAAGACAGTCACCGCTCTGAACGCCGCAGACGGCGACCAGGAGGAGCGTGATTCAAGTTCTCCCCCTAGGGTTTGCAAGAGGGGCCGAGGGACATACCAGGTAGATAGAGGCCCCGCGGAGGCCGAGATCCCCGCTTCCTTCCTGCCCTTTGTGCTTGCTGCTCTCACCCCTATTTCCCGCCGCCTTTTCGGTTCAATGTTATTATGCAGGGTTCTTGGCCTGAGAGCCACGCTTCGCCTCACCGCGTCAGAGAGTAAAAGATGTCGTGGCGCCGCGCGCCCATCCATATCACGCGTCCGACCCTTTTGCTTGCTGCCCCCACCTCTCCCTCGCTCCTCGCTCGCGCAGCTTCCCTCTCCCGTCCCATCCCGACTTTCAATGATTGGGGGGTGCCACTATCTGCACTAGAGTCTGCCGTGACCTCCTTCCGCTGGGATTTTTCTTTTATGAGATCCCCTCTCATCGTCCTCCTCAACTGTTATACTTTTCTCCGTCCACTTCCTCATTCCAGTTATGTCATTCCTCGTTGATCCACATTTCCCCCTCCATCCTCCTCGCCCTCTTTGTTGTTGCTGTTTTTGCTTAGCGTCGTCAGCCAAAATGGCTTTCGAGCGGCGCTCCACGACGAGTCTGGCACCGAAGTGGTCAGAGAGTGCAATGGCCTGGTTGGCCTTGGCGAGCCCCTTTCCCCCCATGGGTTTCATGGTTTCGGCGCGTTCAATGTTCGCCAAACAATGGCATCAACAGGCGAAATGGTTGCTCTACCGAGCAGCATATAGCAATAACGTCAGACAGTTTATTGGTACGGCCACGCAGAGATGCGGCTGAGAAGGCAATGGCTCAGCCAGAGGCTATATTACGTGGCGTAGCCGTGGTGGGTTTGAAAAGGGGGTCTGCGCACGCAACTTCGCCCCCACCACCGTGTACCCCAAGTTTCATTTACAGCGCTTGTTACACATGGTGGCCTTGCGCAGAGCAGGCATTATGAGGGGCCCGCCGCCGTCCCAGACAAACAACAAAACAAAGTGCTTGCGGGGCCCACGAGAATGACCCAAGATGTTGCCCCAACGTGTGCTGGGAGGGTGGTGGGGTTTCATTGGTCCTGGTTGGCTGCTGGGCGCCTGCTGGAAGGGGGTGTTTAGTGGTGAGGAACAGTGCTGAACCCTTTTCTCCCGAAGGGGAAGAAGGGGGGTTGGAAGGGGAAACGCTCTAAACGAATCGCGCCCTACATGGTTTTGTCGGGATATGAACCTTCACATATTGACATACGCTTATGCTTGCAATCCGTTTCCCCACCAGCAACTTGAGCAGCAACTTCCATTTGACGAGTGCAGAATCCTCCAAGCGTGCGCCAGCTTGCACATCCCACCTGCGTGCAGATCGTTCCGAATTGAGCTGCGAGTTGCAACCCGCAAAGCGTGCACCATTCTATGGTCCAGAGGGCGTGGCTCTGAATTGGTTCGTGCTTACCCTCGCTTATAGTAATGTGTCCATTGCGTTGCTCATGGCTGCTAGGCGCGTGTCTTCTTCCCTGCTCCGCCTCTTCATTTTCCATCTTGGCTGATATGTCGCATGGTGGACTCCCCTTGCCCTCAGTGGGAAAGCTGGCAATGCTCATCATCACTGCAACGGGGTCGTGAACAACAAACAATCCACGCAGGTGGCCCTGAACGGGGCCAACCCTGCAATTCACTGAATATGCCTTGTTGTTGTTGTGTTCCGCTGTCGCTTGAACTATGTGCATTTGCAGATCGGCTTGATTTTCATACTGGTCAATACGATAACCCATTGTGCAATCCGAAATCTTCGTTCCAGCTGTTGGTTGAGGTGTTGGCGGTGGCTTACTGGGTGTGTGCACCTAGGCAAGCTGCTCCTCGTTCATTCGAATCCGATGGGGAGGAACGCAGCCTATTATAAGACTTGATCAGCCCTCGAAGCCGCGCCAGTGATTGTTCGAGTGTCCCTTTGTGATCGAACTCATGTGCATGCGTCGAAGCCTCGTTCGCTCTGAGCCCAGGCTGGGAGGTCGGCCGCTGTGATCGTCAGCCAGAGAGTCTATCGCTTGAGGTGAGTGAACTCCCACCCGTGAGTCGGGCAGTCAGGCGCCTTGAAAGTCTGGACGTTTGCATCTGCAGGTTACCAGCCGGGCGCCGTTCGCTTGTCTTTGAGATGGCGAGTTGTAGGAGATGGACGAGGGGGAGGTGGGAGGAGGAGGCGACAGGAGGAGGAGGAGGAGGAATGCTGAGCGGAATGGAGGATGGTGAGGGAGGGAAGAGGAGGAGGAAGGAGCAGGAAGCATGCAGGGTGATACGGGGCCCGCGGGAGGACGAGGAATGTGGATGAAGGAGGGGGAGGGGAATGGTGGATGTAGGTGGTGGTGGGTGGATGGTCTGGGAGGGGAGGAGAAGGAGGAGGGGCGGATGATATGGGAAAGGATTCGCAGCATCAGCATCAGGGGAGTAGAAGCAACACGAGGATGAGGAAGGGGGCACACGGAGGAGAGAGGAGGATGAGACGGGAGGATGGGGAGCCGAAGACAGGTTTTGTTTTGCCCGCGAGGTTCCAGCTCCTGTGCCGCAGTGAGGCCTGGGAGAGAGCCCATGCCTGCAAGCAAATTGTGCAGCGCAACTCTCTGTCTGGCTCGGAGCTGGAGAAGGGGTCACTCACGCTCCCCAACAGGCATGTCAGCGTGCAGGGGCGTCCCTCCACACTGCGAGAGAGTAATGCCGCGGAGGAGCCACCCTTCCACACGGCACGCAACGACAGGACAGAGCAATGTTTGCAGCTATGCTCACTGGCCACAAACCGCACCTAGGGCACCGCCCATGATACGTGCGGCCAGGAAGCTCACTACAGCAGGAGAAAAGCAGAGATGGCGGGGAGGGAACATGGTTCATCCCTCCCTGTCTGGAGCACAGAGGTGGGATTGCCTCCCACAACGTCTAAGAGACAAGCGGAGTGGAGGAGCCACCAGCCACACCCAGCAGGAAGAGGCCCGTGCCTCAGCAAAAACATCAAACGAGAGATTACATGGTACAGCGAATCAGTCTGGAGCGTACGTTAGCCATTGTGCTTGGGGCTTGGGGCCGAGCAAAGTCGTTGGACCGTGGCAGCGAACCTCGCGGAACTCTCTTGCGGCAGACGTCAGTTGATTTTCGCGGGTGGTGGGATTGGTCTTGTGGGTAGGAGGGTTAGGCGAACGGCATTCAGCACGAACACGACACGATGTCCCATGTTGAGGGCGCTTGCCTTGCATAATTTGTTCCCACCAAGACCTAAACTTGTAGTCCAAGGTTCTGGGGCAAGGTTTACTGTACTGTTTCGGCTTGCGTGCCGTGTGGGTTGAAACACAGAAGCGTATGCACACGAACAATTTCGAATGCTCAGAACACAGATACGCGCAAGCGTGTGTTTTGTGTCTCCCGGCTTGCCGAGATCCAGGCCTGGGACGTCGCAATTGCACATTCGAGGTGGGGGTGGGGGCAGTGCATTTGTCTAGCTTGCGACAGCGTTCTCATAAACAGGGGGCGACCAATGACCGTTTGCACCTCGATCTGGAGACCTGGCGGGTTCTGCCCGAAGAGGGCCGCTTGCTATATCCAATCTCGCCAACTTACCGCAGCGAAGGAGAACGCTGAGGGAGCCTACAAACCGCATCCGTGAATTCGCTAGCATGTTGCTTCACGATCTCAAGGCAATCAGGGTCGGATGGGGGGGACGCTCAACAACCGAGGTTGTTATATCATGTACCCGCGCAGTGGTTATCGGTCCTACGAAGGAGCTCCTCTACAGAGAGTCAGTATTCGATGCGGCTGAGGTGATCGTTGACTTCACCCATCGCCACCAACAGCTCGCGCCTGGATGGTAGTGTCTGCGAAAGCTTTGTTAAGAGAGAAATGCGAGCCTCTCTGGATGTACCATATCGCTGATTGACGTTAGCACAGTATGTGTAGATAGTTGAAGGTCTGGTCAGACAAATCATTGAGCCAATGAAGACAGACTACTCAGCTACCCGTTGTGTTTGCTTGAAAGGGGCATACAGTAGGCACCGCAGCTCACACGTCCGAACCTCATCAGGAAAGGCATTTCAATGCCAGACAACTCTTCAAAAGCCGCGCATGGGGTGTCCAGTGCAGGACTTTTCTACAAGAATGTCACCTGCAAGTGCGAACGGCTCCCTAGGAGGATCGACACACGATTGGACATCCCATGGCCCGTCCAACAGAGGGGCTGGACACATGTTCCGTTGATGGTGGATCCTCCCCACCCACCATGGCGACCGAGCAGAGGTTACGGTGTTGCACATGGTCAACGGTTGGATCCAGTACATCTTGAACCGCAATGTATACACGTTCATCTTCCAGTACTGAGCACGTCCAGATCCTGTGGTAAGGAGTGCCCTTGCATCCGTAACCAAGTGGACACTCCTTTTTGGTATGGGGAGCCGTTTGATCTGGAGTAAATCCGAGTCCAGTGTGCTCCTGCTGATATTTCGATGGACACCCCCGTCTCCAACAGTGAGTGTTTCTTCGACCTGAGGCGTTTGTTGGCAATGTCAACGCACAATCGGTTCGGGGAAGAGTTCGTCTCCCATATGTGCTGCTCCAATTGCCTAAGCACGGCGTCATTTTACAGAAAAGTTTAACATATTTGGTGATTGCAGGGTTAGGGAGATGCCGTTCTTGTGATCCGGAATGAGGGTGGCATGATCGCCCATTTCCCATCCAATCTTGGAACCAGCTAAACGCATCGCTGATCCAGGGCCAGAAACGGAACTACAGGTCCTCACCGTTTTCGGACATGATGTAGCCAGGCAGTGCGCAGCCGCTTAACATTTAGGGTCGATGGGTGGATCTTCGTCTTGATGTCCCAATTCTCTGCCACCTGAGAATGGGAGAGCTGCACCAGCCAGGCTGGGTCTGCCTCGAGGGGGAGCACGATGGGCAAGGACCTGTCACCCGCGGTGAGCTAGAGAATTGCAACACAAGACCTACGCAGTTTGAGTAGTCCGGCATCCGTTTCCCTCCTCCTTCCTCGCCCATTCCGCACCTCTCTCTCTATATATATAGATATATATATATGCCTCTCTGCCTCTCTCTCTATCTCTCCTCTCTCTCTCTCTCTCCCCCCCTCTCTCTCTGCCTCTGCAGTGCAAGACCTGAAGCCGCAGAGACATGATGGCACGTGTGTGAAACAAGCCGAGCGCTTCAAATGCACACGCTTATTATCTCTTGGCCACATTGGCTGAACAGTTTGAGGATATTGCCTCTGCAGAAGACGCTTGTGCCTCGGACAGGGTCTGCACGGATGCCTCCGACATGTGCGCGGAGTTCCAGTTATTTGTTATGGGTTGTCCATTGTTGAGTGGTTTGGCGAGTCGCTGCGCAGTGCAAAGACGCTCGCAGGAGTGGGGCTATTGAAAAGCGTCGCGACTTCACCCGTGCCGTCCGATTGTGGTTTCCTTCCTTCTCCAACCTCCTGAGCCTCCCTACACCACGACCTCTTTTCCCAGTCCTCTCGGCGGCGATTGGTGCGGCAGACTGGCAGTGGCGGGCGAGATCGTCGACGGCGATGGTCGGGCCGCCTGCCCAGTCGCGGCGAGCAGCCCTCGGCGCTGTTGAGGGCGCTGCTCGAGTGCCTGGCTCGACGCAGGGGGTCGTCGTCGTCGCCACTGCTAGCACTCATCAAGGGTCCCGCAGAGGCTGCCAGGACGCTCACCAAAAATCTCAAGTCGGTTTCGGATGGTACGTGCCAGGGGGAGGGGGCACGGGAAGCCCTCGGAAGAGCCTGGACATTTACGACGAATGTCGGATTTCGTGGAGTAAGGTCACCTGGAGTAATGTCATGTGGCACCTATATTTGCCATTCGTATAAGGCATGTTCCATGTTGTGGCGTGTCTCACATTCTTGTCATCGTTGGCGAACTGGTTGAATGCATCTGTCGATCTTGACAACGGGAACGTTGTGTGAATGGAGGCTCGTTCAACATATGTTGCACTCGGCTGACATGTAAGGATTTCCACGGGCGCTATCCAGTTAACTTGTGAAATGTCAGCGTGGTCCAGAGTGCCCGGGCTAGAAACGTACCGCAGAAAACCTATACCATTGTTTGCCAGTCTTTTAAACGTGGCCTTTGCTTGAGTGTCATCATGCGGTAGGGGTGTGTGGTGCCGTTCTAGCGCGTGCTGCAAGACATCCAGAATGTTGGGTTTCTTGGTGCCAATACCAATTGAAGTACTTGCATCAGCCATGCCGAATATGTTGTGGCCTTCAGCCCAACCTGCCTGGGTTGCGGACCAGCGGCCTCATAGATGTCTCTTGGGGGTTCTTTGGAGGCCTCGTGGTGGCCTCTTGGAGGCCTGTTTGGGGCCTCGTCGGGCTCTCATTGTAGCACCTCGGGGGCCTCGCCGCTTGGGGACCTCCTAGGGGTCTCGGGGGTCATCTGTTGGGAAAAGTGTTACGTGCCGGTTCGTGATACCCCTCTTGTGCCCGCTTAGAGCCGCGCTGCGGGCTTGGAAGACACCTTGGGGCGAGATTTGGGCTTCTCGGGCCGGCTTGGACGCTCGTGACACCGAGGAAGCGAGAAGCGAGAAGCGCAAAAGCATTGACAAACCTTTGGTTGTTCAATGGTTTTGGCTTCTTGGGACGGCTCCCAGAGCTTTCAAGACGGTCCAGGAGGCGCCAAGGATGACTCCATGACGGGCCCTGGGACAATATAAAACCGTGCTTGACGTGTGGAATCCCAACTACGCCTCCAAGGCCTCCAGAAAAATGGCGCGACAATCCTTGAGAGCGCACTGAGAGCGCCCAAAAGAGCGCCCCGAAATCAGGGCCTCAGCCACTGAAAAGGCACCCGATCATACCGAAAGGAACTGACGATGCTCCATTCCGTGCCTCGCGGTATTGTGGCCCTCAACGGTCCAGCAGGCATACTACCCAGTACTTTGGTTGCGTGCTCCATTCATTAAGGTAGTACTCATAGCTCGTTTGGTGTCTTCGTGCCCATGTAAAGTTGCAGATTATCTTTGCCAGCTAGCCGCAAGTAGGGACGGGTGGTGCTTTCCCAAACAGTGTTTGCACTTATTGTCTAAGTCTTGCGAAGGCCTTACGGCCAGTGCCTCCGACCCTGAATGGTGGCAACGACGACTATACCGACGACGAAGACAATAACGACGCTCGCGAGTTCTCATGGGGGCCCTTGTGGGCCCTGTTGGTCTTTCTTGGGTGGCCTTTTAGCTCGTCTAGGGGCATTATTGGGCCGTCTTGGGGCTCTCTTTGGCTGTCTTGGGGCCGTCTGGAGCGCTTCTTGGGCTGGGCCTCTTCGGAGCGTCTGAGGCCTTGTTTGGGCTGTCTTGGATCCGTTGTGGGCTCTCTTGGGATGCCTCTTGGGCCGTCTTGGGGTCTCCTTGGGCCGTCATGAGAGGCCTTTTTCGGCAGTCGTGGGGCTCTCTCGGGGAGATCTTGGGCCGTTTTGGAGCGATCTGGGGGGGCCTCTTGGGCCCGCTTGGAGCGTGAGAAGCTCAAAAGGCAAGACATCAAACAAGCAAGAAAAGCTTAAAGACAATATCTGAGTTTGACCCCTTGGGGTCTCTCTTGGGGGTGCTCTTGGGGCTGCTTTGTGGCGTCTTGGGCAGCTCTGGGGCCGTCTTGGGGAATCTAGGGCGCCTCTTACTTAGGGCTTTCTGGCTGCCTCTCGGGGCAGAGGGCTTCAAATATCGGGTTGTGTTCCCCTCTTGGGGCACTCTCGGGCCGTCGTGGTCGGAGAGATGGGGGTCACAACCCCCGGATCCCACCCTGGCGAACCCCCCTGGACACCCGCTTACGGCGAGGAAGGGATCAAAGGGAAGTGGTTTCCCTTCGACTCGATTACGACGTTGTTCAGTGTCCGTTTGGTTGGATCGCTTGAGGAGCAGAGCCCAGGGAAAGGGGGAGAGTGGCGACGACGACGACGACGAAAACGACGACTCAAAAGGAAAATGTCGATGACGATGTTGTTCGATTACCCTCTGGTCGGGTCGCTTCACGAGGAGGACCCAGGGAAAAGGGAAGAGCGGCGACGGCGACGAGGACGACGACGAGGACGAGGACGACGACGACGAGGACGACGATGACGACGACGACGAGGACGACGACGACGAGGACGACGACGACGACTCAATCGGGAAAGGGGAGCGGGCACGGCGACGACGACGACGATTCAAACGGAAGAACGTCGCACACGCCGACAGGGCCGGCGGATTTCGCATGCGGCTCAGGGTTTTCGTTCGGGCGCCCCTCGTGGGCATCTTCCCATAGGGAGCTCCACCGAAGGCCCCAGTGGCAGGGCCCGCACGGCAGCACCGCGCCAATCTCGGCACACCCTTCACGCGTTTCGTCCCCCGTTAGGTGCTCAGCTCACTTCCCAGCTGGATCGCGCACAGTAGGGGGCTCAGCTCGCCCCTGCGCGCCTGGTCCCTTCCCCCCATCCGCACTGCCTTGGGTTACATACCTATCGCGGCGCGATGCGTGTGAGGAAAAGGTCATACCTTGCGCTGCTCGCAGCTGCATAGCTTGGCTCCTTCGCCTGACTAATTCTGCTTTGGGTGGCTGGCCACACGAGTTATACTACCTTGAAGATTGCGAGGAGTCAACGGTACTGAACAGGACTACTTACCATAGAATATACCATGGGCCGACGCGCATATGATGACATTCAGTGTGTACAACTATGCCGTCGTCGAACTCTTCGGCGTCTGAGCGTCCCTTTATATCGGCCGTCCCCCTTTCCCTCTTTGCTCGCCGGCCAAGTCGCTAGTTAGTGCCCCTATCTAGCTTCTCGCTGGAGCGGAGTTCGCCGCCTCGCCGCTGACGAACAACATGTACAACTATGCGCTTGCGAGCTGGAGCATGTCGCGATACATATCGACACACGGGAGCTGTCACAGTGGCAGGAGACAGCCATGCGTCCATGCGCGCATGTGATACACACTCGCGACATTGTAGTAGTGGTGCTGCGCGCAGCATGTGCTGAGATCAACACTGGCTCCGCAGACGTGTTCTGTTCGATTCCGGTACTCCGCCAAACCAGCCGTCTGAGGTTTTTCCAGCTCCTCGTAGAGGGCTTGACCGTCAAGGACGCGGAGGCAGTAGTGCGTACTGTTTGGAAGAGTTATTGGGAATGTTTCTTGGAGGATCTGCAGGAGCGCCCTCCACATGTGCTCCCTATTGCTTACATCGTCGATCATGATTACATCGACCATTTGTCCCACATTCATTGCTCACGAGACTGGTCCAATCTGACAAACGCAGCGGGCCATGTGATCGTATCATCATGGTCGTGCAGCTGCCCTCCGTGCGAACCGCTGGTCTCCCAGCAGCGAAGTGTTGTAGGAAGGAGAGCGGGTCGGAGTGTTAGGTGAAGGTATGCGCAGGCTGAAGAGTCGGCGCGCGAGGCGGAGACGGGGGGGGACGGACCTCGTCCCTTTCCTTCCCCCTCGTCGTCCTCTTCCTACGCCACGCCGTCCTGCTGTGTCCTGTCTTTCTCCCCAATGGGAGGGTTCTGGGATGAATGGTGAAGAGAGGAACAAAATGATGAGGCGCATGCGACGGTTGCTCCTTTTGGCCAGTTGCCCTTGTGATTGTGAATTCCAGGCGACATCTCTCATCGTGCTCCTCCCGCTGCTGCTCCTGCTCCGGCCGCTCTTACTGCTCATACATATTTCTTGATGTCCCCATTTTCTATTGCTCCCTCTCGCCGTTCTCCCCCTTCTCATCGGCTGACCCTCGTCCTGCTCACATAAACATCCTCAGCATTCTCCGCTTCCTCGTCCTCTTTCCTCCTCGTCTTGCTGTTGCTGTTAGTAGTCACTTTGGCTCAAGGGTTTCAGCTGGCTCCTCCGTAACTCCTGGGCGCGTCCTGGGCACCGCGCCAGCTTCGCCGTACGCAATGTCGTTCAAGCCGCAAATCGTGGTGGACTGCCGTGGCCATCTGCTCGGTCGCCTGGCCTCCATCGTCGCCAAGGAGCTCCTGAACGGGCAGCAGGTGGTGTGCGTCCGCACCGAGGACATCAACATCTCCGGTTCGCTCTACCGCAACAAGCTCAAGTACGCGGCGTTTAAGTGCAAGAAGATGAACTCGAACCCCAAGCGGGGACCTCTGCACTACCGTGCGCCGGCCAAGATCCTGTGGCGTACCATTCGCGGCATGGTACCCCACAAAACGCCCCGCGGGGCTGCTGCGCTGGACAGGCTGAAGGCGTTCGAGGGAATCCCGCACCCGTACGATCGCAAGAAGCGCATGGTGATGCCGGCAGCTCTCAAGGTGCTCCGCCTCAAGAAGGAACGCAAGTTTTGCAAGCTTGGCGACCTCTCCCAGCAGGTTGGCTGGAAGCACCAGGACCTTGTGGAACGTCTGGAGAAGCAGCGGAAGGTCAAGAGCGAGGTGTTCTACAAGAAGAAGCTTGCCACCAAGTCGAAGAAGCAGGCTGCCACGAAGGGCGCTGCCGTCGACGCTGCGGACAAGCAGGTCCTGGTTGAGGCGGGCTTAGCGTGAAACTGCTTCGTGATGGTCCTTGTCATCGGCCCGGGCGACGCGCTGACATGCAACAGTGCGTCGGAGGATTGCAGATCAGAGGGGCTCCTTATGTTCCTACTCCTCACCCCCCTCTCCTCCTCCTCCTCCTCCTCCTCCTCCTCCTCCTCCTCCTCCTCCACCTCCTCCTCCTCCTCCTTCTCTTCCGGTTTTGTTATTTGCCCTCCCCTCTGCCATCGCGTACGCGCTCCTTCCTTCCTCCGCCTCCTCTTCCTCGTATGTCCTCCATCCTCCCCCCTTTTCATTCTTCCCTCTGCTACATCTCCTGCCGCCCCCCCTACACTTCAGAGTCCTCCGCCTCCTCCTGCTCCGCTTCCCCCTCTTTTTCTTCCGCGTCCTCTTCCCACAGATGCAGCAGACACCTGGGAGCAACTGGCAGCACAGCGTTGCGCAGGTGTGTGAGATGGGGGAGACGATGGATGCACTTGGGCAAGTTGGTCAAAGGATATGGTAATTGAGAGACTTTATTCGCTGGATCTTACTCTTCATCCCTTTCCTGCTCACCTCCTTGACCCCAGGCACCGAAGAGATTATCCAATAATGACTTCTCGGGCCTCGTCGACATCGCCAGCGTCGCAGTTCTGGACTCACTACGAGCTGCCCGCGGCGTGACCGGCGGGCGAAATAGAATGCCCAGAGAGTGTTGGGGTGGGGGATGTCTTGGGGAGGGGTGGCGAGTACAAGCGTAGCGCAACTTTCGCGGCAAGCCATGGGATTGGTGACGCGCCCACAACGCGTTCCTTCGGCCTGGACTTGACTGAGCGCAATTGCCCGCGAGTGCGCCCAGAGGCACGCGAAGGGCGAGTTGACCTCACCACCCGCGGTGGTCTTCGGTGGTCCGTGTGTGTGTGTGGCGCATGCAGGTCAGCGCACGCCCACCCGAGACAGAGGGGCCGGACGGGGGGTGGAAGGGGGTCGGAGCCATGGAGGGGCCGATCGGGGAGAGGCAAAGGCCGGAGCCGGGGAGGGCAGAGGCGGAGCGGGGGGGGAGGAGGTGGGAGGGCTCGCGGCGGCGGAGGGGCGATCCGTCGGCCCCGGCCTCGCGAGGTAGGCACTCTCACCTGCGGCCCCCTGCGGACGCCCCTCCAGCTCTGGCCTCTAACCCTCACCCCTCCCTTCCCTCCCGGCCCTGCCTCGCTGCCCTCCCTGCCGCCGCTCCCTCCCCCCCCCCCCCTTGCTGCGGCTCGGCACCCGTCCCACTTTCGGACGAGTGGCCTTGTGCCTTCTCCCTCCGCACGAGGTTTGGGGAGAGGATTGCCGAAAGACGCCCGAGGGCTCAGGAAGGAGGCTGAGGGTGCAAACCCGAAGTATGTGGCTGCTGCTTTGGGGAAGGAGGCCTGTGCTCGGGGGGTGGGCGCAGCACCGCTCAACGAAGTGCTGTGTACCAAGCCTTGTAGGGTGGGCCCTTTTCCCAAGTCCGTGCTTCGGCGCGGATCGTAAGCGCGCTTTGTCTCGTGTTGGTCTGCTCGGGACTTGTTTCCCTTCTGCAGTGACCACTGCGGAGGACGTTTTAGCAACGTTGGGCTCGATGATCTTCTGGGTGATCTTGGGCTCCTCGGAGCCCTCCGGCTTGATGTTGGCCTTCTCGAGGCCGGGTCCCGCTGGGACCTATTGCTTTCTGGGGGCGGCGCGGCCGCTGGGGGGTCGATCGCGTGGCGATCGGCCCTTTCGGTCGCCGACTCAACTCAAGGCCTGAGTTTGAGCCACAATGTCCGCGGGCGGTGGGCACCGAGCGAGGAGGGAGAGGAGAGGGCAGAGGAAAGAACTAGGCAAACGCCGGGAGGCCCTAGAAGGGCCTGGAAGGTGGAAGGGCACACTAGCGCCCGCACGGACCCCGGACCGAACAGACCTACCATCTGCTCGGGGGCTCGAATGCCGTGTTCTACCATCAGGGCAGTCACTGGGTGACCCCACTGGGAATCTTTTGGAAGGTTTCTAACGGTCTTGCGTGCCAGCAGCCTCTATTGCAGGCAACAGGGGACGGCGGAGTTAGTGGCCTTCGGCCCATACCGCCACCGTGCTTGCTGGGTCGTTGAACAAGGGCCTGTTGGAGTCACTCGGGGGCCTCTTGGGGGCCTCTTGGAGGCCTCCTGGGGGCCTCTTGGGGGCGTCTGGGGGGTCTTGGACCTCTTCGGGGCCTGCTGGTTGTCAAGTCTCGGGGGCGAAATGGCAGTCCGTGGTGCCCGTCTTGGACTCCTCTTGGGGGCCGCTTGGAGGCCTCTTGGGTCCCTGCATCGGGGCTCCTTTGGGCGGCTCTTGTGGGTATCTTGAGCCGTCCTGGGCGCACTCAAGACTGAAACGGCGAGCAAGCGACAACAACACAACGAAGCCGTTGATTTTTCAAAGATGTGGGGCTCTTTGGCCGGCCCCCAAGACAGTCCCACGACGGCCCTGAGTGACCAGCTTAGGCGATGTTGTAAGGTTCGCTTCTGAACTACGCTCCCGAGGCCTCTGGAGAAGCCGCGCGAGAAGCCCCAAGTGCGCCCAGGAGCACACAGTATTCAAGGCAGAGTCGTCGAGGGGACCTGGGGGCACGCACTCCACGTTGTGCTTCGCCCAGAGGAGACACAGAGGCCACCGCCACCGAGAACCCATCGGGGGGAGGGGGGGCGATCCATGGGCTGTGGCACGCCCGAGAGCCACCCAGTTCCGGACAACGCTCAGGCCTGCCACCGTCCAGGCGCGGGTCACCCCCGATGGGTTCTTGGTGGCGTTGGCCTCTGTGTCTCCTCTGATTCGCGGCACGGTGACAGCCAGACTACAGGAGCGCAGACGGCCGGTGCGGGGAGGCAGCGCGCCTTGCCAGGGGCCGCGCGGCGGTCCTCTCAGTCCCGCCCCCCCCCTGGAGCCCACCGCAGCCCTCCCGAGCCCACCAGTTGCGCGCGGCACGGGGCCTGGCCTCGGGACCCCCTTGCGCGCGCGCGAGCCAGTCGTGGGGACACCGCGTCGGGCCGTCTGAGGCCGCATTTGCGCGGAGGCCCGCGCGGCACCGCGCCTCCCCTAGTCTTCGGGTGGCGCGGGCTCATCCCGAGTGGCTGACGCGCCATTTCTACTGTTGGCGTTGGTCCGTCCTTTCGCTGCACTCCGCTTCCCCTCCTCTCCCCCGGGCGCTTTGCGTTCACCCTCTCAGGTGACGAAGCGGGCCTGGGGCTGCAAGTCTTGCGTGGACCAGCGGGCCATGGACGAGGAGAGATAGCCAGAGCTGACCAGAGAGGGATCGATGCAGGGCACTGCGCAGGAATGGATGCCTCTCCCGCTGCTTTGGATCATGGTACAGGGGTCCCCAATCCTCCGCCAGCAGGCATCTGAGTCAGCACCATGAATGTGCTCGGAGCGCCTGGCATAGGGGGCTCGGGTAGAAGAGCAGGCGAACATACTCAACGGGTCAGCACCCAGTGACCCCACGCAAACAGGAGAGACGTATGTTGAATGTGAAAGGGCGACCGCGGAGGCCCGTGCCTCTTCAATTTTCAGGGCGTGGGCGTCGACCCCCTCAGTTCACTCTGCGACGCCAAAGTTCCATGGTGCCCTCTTGTCGGTTCAGGTCAGCATGCGTCCGTTGTCTGTTACGTGGTAGGTCGAGGCCATGTCTCGACCGTTTGGACTTCATCACCTTGGACAGAGGCTCGATGGCTCGAGTCTTGCGACTGGTGCCCACTGCAGGGTGGGTGGTCGAGGAGGGCGGAGAAACAACAGGATACCATTCCAGCGCTCTGACCTAGAAAAGGTAGTACCTCACTTGAGGAGGATGAGCAGCGGAATGCGTTCCCCTTCCCCGCCACCCCGTTTCCTGTCCCCTGTCCCCCATCCCATCCCGCCCTCCCGCCCACATCTCCTCTCGCCGCTCCCCCTCCCCCCCTCCCACATCATTCTCCGCTCCCTCATCCCCCGCTTCCCCCTCGCCCCGTCCCCCTCCCCTGCAGCGCAGCCTTCGACGGCCCACGGTGGCGCCGCAGGAGCGCGCCCGACAGCGCACACTGCTGGAGGGGCGGAAGCGCGAGGCCGTGGGGGTGGCGCGCGAGAGGCGCCGCCGCGCTGTGGTTAGCGGGCGGGCCACGGGCCACATCGGGGCTCCCAGGTCGCTCAGGGCAAGCCACGGGCCACAGCGGGCGGTTGATCTTCCAGTGGCGCAGGGCATTTGCGGCGCAGCCGGCAGTGCCGCTGCAGCTTCGCTCACGAGGAAGGCACATCAGCAGGAGGAGGGGGAGGATAGCAACATCGAGTCTAGTTCACTACGCTTACTAGAGGTTCCACATGAGTGTTTGCTCGTTCTTCTCAACCTCGCTGCTAGGCCGTGGCGTTGTGTCCTGGTTTTCGTTGGCACTGCGCCGCGTGTTCTCCCCTCCCCCCTTCTTTTCTCTCACATCATGTCCCCCCCGCCTTCTTATTTCTAGTCTTCTCTTCCGTTTCGTTCGTCCCCGCGGCGTGGCTTATTGCGGCACACCGTTTGCACAATCTCGCATGCCAAGGGGAGCCTCAGATCGGGCGCCAGCGGGAACGTTCGCATTCGGGCAGTGGCGCTTCAGGGCGCACCTTGATGCTTGGTCCAATTCTCGCCACTCGTCCGATGAATGGGGCTATCCTTCGCGAGGCGAGGTGGGGCGGGATCACGTGGGGAGTGGGTGCGGCACGCGCTGGGTTGCCAGAACAAACTGTCGGGCGGGTTACCATGTGAGGGATTTCGGGAACCCCTTTGTTTCCCACAATTAAGAAAGTTGTCATCTCTTGGTTCGGCGGAAGCCGGCGGAAGGTTGGCGGAAGCCGGCGGAAGGTGGGGGGAGCGTATTTAGCAACGCGAGGTAAAATTATCTTTCTGCTGCCTGCCTTATAATCCCTCCCACCTGTTCTGTCATTCTTTACCCCTCCCTCGCCTAGTGTATGGGATTTTGAATATTCTTGTGGGTCCCACACCCCAATCCTCCCAAGAAGATGCCCTGGTTCTGTCCCCAAGCAGTGTGATCGCTCCTTGCTCCTATGGCCCCCGCCCTCACTTGCTGCGGACTTGAGACGTGCTGCAGCGTTCTGTGAGGGTGGCCGAGCTTGGCCTCGAGACGATGACAGACCCCGAGGCGTTCTTGAGGCTCCGCCGGGACGCGGGCCCTTCCACTGAAGCGGCAGGAGGGTAGAGCCGCTCTAAGAGGAGGGGAGAATAGCCTGGAGGAGGGGTGGGGGGGAAAAGGATGAGGAGGAGGAGGAGGAGGGAATGGGGGAATGGAGGCGGAGGCAGGGTTGGAGTCGGTAGGGGGAAGGGAGCATTGGGGGATCGGAATGGGAGGAGGAGGAGGAGGAGGAGGAAGAGGAGGAGGAGGAGGAGGAGGAGAAGGAGGAAGCGGTGAGAAGGATGAGGAGAAGGAGGAGGAAAAGGGGAGAAGAGGAGGGGGAGGAGGGTGGAAGAGGAGGTGGATGAGGAGGGGAAGGAGTGAGGAGGCGGAGGCCTTCGAGTTCGTGTTGGTCACGCACTGCTCGTGTAACCATTTCGTGCTCACGCCCGTACGTTTCTTTTTCACCGGAAAGAGCGTTCAGGCGCGGATGACACATTGACCAACGTCAACGTGACGTAAAAGGAAGGATGAAGACGAGGAAGCGGAAGAGAAGGAGGAGGAGGAGGAGGATGAGGCTGTAAGTGTGCCCTGCACTGAGTCGCTGGTAAAGCCAAAGCCTTTCAACAAAAGACGGCGCTACGACTGTCAGAAACTTCAGCCAAACTCCAAGACAAGATTTCTGTGTGGGCACCAGGTCAGTAATCACAGTACACTGAACAGCTGAAAACAGTCGGGGTTGAGGAAGCAAGAGAGGCACCGATGGGCTTTCCTGGTGTGGCGCTGGCGAGGTGTCCCTGACCCAAGCCAAAGATAGGAGGCAAGGCTCAACAGGTGATTACGCGCCTGAGGTAGAGGAGATCTGTGGCCCCAGAACGGCACGCAAGACTAGACGGCGGAGGGAACAGAGCAACCTCTCTTCGCGCTAAGACGAGGGAAGAAGGGACGGTGCTGCTCGAGCTGCACCTCTCTGAATCTCGTCACGGCCAAAGTGGCGAACGCTGACTGTGAGGCTGCTGAAGCAAAAGGCCTGTCAGCATGCGTGTGCGGTCCTCTGCACCTGAGGAGGCGAAGCGATCTTCGGCCCCGCAACGGCACGAACGACGGACGGCGGAGGACACAGAAGCACGGTTATCTGCATGCCTAGCGAGGAGCGAGCAGCAGAAGTGGGAGGCAAGGCAGCATGCAACAGCTACGGGCGAAGGGGCATTTTGAGACGGTGCGATGAGATGGCCCGAGAAATCGTTTCTTCCACACTCACCGCAGCACGGACGCATGCTGCTCTGAAGGTTTTCTTGCCGCCGGCGGCGACAGCTGGGCCTCGAGAGGGGCCCCGGATCACCAGGGCGCCAAAAAGGCAGGGCTGCCGAGGACCAGCTTTCAGGAAAACGCCTCTGGGCGGGCGGGTCGGGAAGCTAGAGCCCAAACAACAATGGACTGTCTCTCGCAGCTCTGAGCACACTCTCGCTGTCCCACCCCCCTCCGTCCCACCGAGGCCCGAGGGGCGGATCATAAACTCACGGCCCTACCTACACGCACTCTCAGAAAGCCCGTTAACAAACATGGATTCTGAGACGGTGCGATGAGATGGCCAGGGAGATCGTTTGTTCCACACTCACCGCAGCACGGACGCATGCTGCTCTGAAGGTTTTCTTGCCGCCGACGGCGGCAGCTGGGCTTCGAGAGGGGCCCCGAATCACCAGGGTGCCAAAAAGGCAAGGCTGCCGAAGACCAGCTTTCAGGAAAACACCCCCCACACCCCGTAACTTCGGTTTGCCCCATAGAAATTTGACTTGGGAGGGTGGGGCGCTTTATGCACATTAAGGGGGAGAGGGGAGGACGAGGAAAGTGGAGGGCTGTTTTGCAGCAGGCTGCGGGGCAAGAGGTGCATACGCCGAAGCCGTCACGTTTCAGTCCGACTCATCCAGGGGCTCGAAGGCTTGGGAGCCGTTCTCGCCGAGGAGGTCGCTGGCTGCGTTGGCGGCCGAGCTCCAGAGGCTGGTGTCGGGCACGGAGCGGAGCAGCACTCGTAGATCATGTCGAGCTTCTCGTCCTCCTCGTTTAGCTTTCGTCGGTAGTCGGGTGTTGTGTACAATGAGCGAGTGAGACTTTCTGTATCTTGCCACGCTCTTGCTCTGGGTCCATCGTCCTTTCCGTTGGATCTCTGCGATGGACCGCCTCTTGTGCAGAATGTAGTGGCTCGGTCCGCTGTGTCGTAGAGTATGCATAGAGCCGATTCCAACTCATATCGCCATCCGAAAGAATCTGTCTCTACACTGACCCAACTCGGGTCGCGGTGGTGCCGAACACAAGGGCCTGCTTGCCCAGTGCCTTCACACCCTCAGCAATGACGATGGCGATCCTCAGGTCGTCGATGGCGACTTCATGCTCCTGGCCAGCCTTGACGCTTTCGCCTCGATGACGTCGTCCCAGCTGGATGGCCACCTTGATCGTCCTGGGGTCCTTGGAGTCACCGTAGCTGACGTGCGCGTCCGCCGCTCTCAGCTGCAGCCAGTCTTGTTCTCGTAGGTAGCAGTCGCACGCGAGCAGGAACGCCGTGCCCTCGTCGACGTGGCCCCTGCGAGCTGCCTCTCGTGCTATGTAGTAGATGGCCTCGATGGGTGCTGGGCCCCCTTCCCACGTCTCTTGATACTTCTCCCAGCTGTGAAGAGCCCGCAGCGCGAACGGCATCTCGGACCTCCACTCGGGAAGATGTGCATCGGGCCGCGGTAGAGCTTGATCCTCAGTTGAGGGGGGCCCGCTCCACGAAGCACCATTTGTCCACTTCGGCGGCCACCGTGGTGTCTCGCTGCCCTGGAGTCGAGAAGGGCAAGCGCTTGTGGAACACGTCGCGAAGAAACGGCTCCACCTCCTTGAGATACTCCTTGTTCGTGTCGTCCTGCACTACCTGGATCAAGAGCCTCGAGGGGCGCTCGAGGTGCTCGACTCCTAGCGAGCTCCTGTTGACGGGCTTCTCCGCCGCGGCACTCTCGAACGCCAGGGGCCCCTTCTTCTTCGCCGGCGCGGAAGGTCGACGCTGCGCAGCGGGGGGAGCTCGCGCCTTCTCTTTGATAAACTTCTTGATATTCGCAGACTTCTTTCTCGATGAGCTCCTTCTGTCTGCGCCCAGACGCTCCGCGACGCCCGCGATCATGCTGGCCTCCGCTGCAAGATCATCTGCTTCCTCGTCGCTGTCAGGCTGGTCATCCGAGGCGTTGTAGCTCGAGAAGGCTTCGTTGGCGCTGGCTGAGCTCAATGCGAGGGTGTCGCACCAGATCGTCGTAGCCAGCAGCGCGCCTAGAGATGCTGCCAAGCCTGGGCGCCGTCGTCGCGCGTGCCCATGATCTCCCGCTAGTCGCCCAGGGGCCTCTCGAAGGGGTGCCGGTCGCTTAGGATGGACTTCTTCTGCTCGGACTTCGCCTTCGTGATCTCTGCGCTGCTGACCCCTTTCCCCTCGCGACGGGCTGTCTGCTGGATTCATGTCGGTCGGGGTCCATCTCAGGGTGAGCCCCACTCCCGTCGCTAACGAAATAGCTCCGATCTTCCTCAGCTGCGTCATCGACGGCCTGGATGAGCTCCTCATCTGTCGAACAGCCTCGACAGTGACCATGGAATCGCACTGAACCAGACAACGACTGAACCAGCACCTCGAAGACCTGCATAGATGTCTCGCCACTGAGGACACCGCCCTCATCTCCTGCACATTGGCGTGGGCCTCGTATGCCCGCGCTCCCTTCCACGACATGTGCCATCTTCATAAACTCGTCAGTGGTCCATGACCGCTCTGGGCTTCTCCGGGGGGCTCTGAACTTTTCAAACTCGCCAGTCGCGCAGCTCCAACCGCTTGGCCTCGATCGCTTACCTGACCAGCTCGGCGTGGGCGCTGCAGAGCAGAGGAGGGCAGACGGCGGCGAGCCTGGTCCACAGCTGCCCTCTGGCGTTTCGCCTTCGGAGCTCCTGATGAGGATGGTCCCGAGAGCATCGGCGCGCCATCTCCCCCAGACTCCCCACGTTCGTGAGCAGTCGCGTCGGTTTGAGCCACCCTGCCCCTGAAAAAAGAGAGGAACAAACAAAAGCGCGCCAGCTCCACCGCAAAGACGCTCGGTTGCTCCATCAGCTTCGCCATCTCGGGCAGCTCCCAGATCATCGAGGTCCCGGGGTTCTCGAGGAAGAAACCGACGCCTGCGGTCAGGCACGCGAAGCACATGGAGATAGCTGCCTGCGCCAGGGCGCTGCCCTCGCGGACGCGCTGCGCCCGATGGGGGGGGGCAGTCCAGGGGGCCCTCGAATCCAGCGCCCAGGTGCCCGAGTCGCCGGCCTCCGCGCTCTGGAAAAAGACGAGCACGGAGGATCCATGTGCACCATGAAGAAGAGGGCGAATATAATGGCTCGGCACATGAGCTCGACGAACGACGGGCCCATGAGGCCGCGGCGCAGGCTGCGAGCGTTGTCCACGAAGAGGGTCTCGCGCTGGCAATCGCTCCGCACCTCCTCTCCGAACCCGCCGTAGCCCGCGAAGACGTCGGCCATCAGCCGCTGCGTGGGCGCGTCGCTCTCGCCGCTGGTGTTCGGGATTCCCCGCTTGGAACACTCCCAGTCGTCGCCGTTCACCGGGAGCTCCCCCCCCTCGTCCCTGGCCATGTCGCGCAGCTGCTGGAGTCTCCACTGCCGGTCCACCTCTGCCTTGACCTCGCTCCTTGTCGCCTGGGTTTCCGCCGCTCCCATGCCGGCCTCGCTCGCGTCTGTCGCGAACACGACTTCGCCCCAGCGGGGCTCCAGGTGCGCGTGCATCAGGGGCGCGAGGTGGTAGAGCATGTGCAGCTCGTTCAGCGCGCTCCCAGAGCTCGCGCCTGGTCTGGTCGCCCTCGAACTTCGCCGCGGACTTGTAGCAGGCGTCCAACAGGCAAAAGGCGGGTCGACAACGCATCGCAAGCCAGACCCACTAGCCAATGATACGAGACAATTCCTGAGACGTCGCTCGGCCTCGAGCCATGACAGATCCAATTGCCCCAATCACGTTCTGGGTCCTCTCCCTGGAGGTCATGAGTCGGCACGGCTGCTCAGCGATCGTCACTCCAAGAGAGAGGGGCAATGCGTCCCCGACTCCATCTTTGCGCATGTCCAGGCCCGCCTCCTTCAGCTTCGCCCGAGCGGCCTCTCTCACCGTCTCCACGGTCGTCTCGTCGATCTCGTGCACGAGAGTCAGCGAGGCGAAGTCGTACATGAAAACCCAGTAGATGAAGGCAGCCTCGGCGAAGCTCGGGGGCATCAGACCGTGGATCAGCTGGCCGTGACGAGGACAACTGGGCAGGTCGCATATCACATCCCCCAGCGCTCCGTGGCAGATCGCCGGCGACCAGCTGAACCCCATCAGCATCACGACAAGACAGAGATCGGCATCCGCGCGGCACACTGGGCAGCTTCATCCGCCGCCTCTTGAGCTCCTTCACGAACTCGGCGATCGAGGCACCTCCGTAAACCATGCGGGGCCACAGTTCGGCACAGCTACGGCACCCGTGAAAAAATGTCGGGAACGCCGCCCCACGTCGGCTTCAGAACTCGGGCCTGCGTCACGCCGTCGGAGAGGTCGAGTTCCGCCATCGCCATCGAGGACCCTAGGTCCCTAGGTTGAGGCGCGGTGGGCTCCTGAAGCGCTTGTTCACGCGCCTCATGTCCCACGCGGACCTCAGCGCGTAGACCCCGTCCTCGCGCGTCTTCTTCATCACGAAAAACACGGCCACCTCGGCCTTGCACGCGCGGGTGAACTCGAGCACCCCCGCCTCCCACAGGCGCGCCGCAAAATCCAAGCGCGCAGCTCGCTAGCGGAGGCTCAGGTCGGCGTAACAGCGCGTGGCCTCGATGTCGGCCTCGTCCACCTGGCTCGGCGCAAGAACCATCCTCTCGTGAAATCTGTCGAAGTAGCACCTGGCCTTCGGTGAGACCAGCTTGATGTCGCACGGCCCCGCCCCTGCTGGCGGCAGAGACGCCTCGCCACTCGCGAAGGGCATCACCTTGCCCCTCGGCGGCGCTCCCTCGTCGTCGCCCTTTACAGCCGAGGCCTCGTAGGTCCCAGCTTTGGCGCACAAGGCCAGCCGCTCGAAAGCGGACTCGGCGTCGGAAGCGCGCATCTTCAGGTCGCGGGCCTCCCGATGGCACCCCGGCACCCTCTCCGAGATCCTCCGCGGCAATGCGTGGTTTCTCGCCCAGTCCGTCACACTGCCCCATGCAGTGTCTCGAAGCTGATCGCAGCGGCCAGTGGTGAGAGCCGTCAAGGGCCTCAGAGCAGCATTCGCCCGAGCCCGCACCGCCCTCTCCTGAGCGGCCCGTGACCTCGATCGCCCTGAGGTCGACGACGTGGGCTCGGGAAGTGCTAGGAGCGGGGGCACCTCCAGCGGTTCTCTGACTCGGCCGCCTGACGGGAACACGCGCTACGCTCTCACGTCCATGAGAAATTATGAAAAGAACGCCGTCGCGCACGTTGGTGAGGTGGCCGGCGCCGATCAGGATCAGCACCGCACGAATGATGCGCCCGGCCTGGGCCCGGCGCCTGAACAGGAACCTTCTTCGACCAGTGACTCGTCCTTCCTCGTCGGCGCGCTCTCGTGGTCGTGGAGCTTGTCGAGGGACTTGGCGAGCAGAGCGCGATGCGCGAGCCGCTCGCGCAGTTCCTTCTCCACGCCGTTGATCAGGACCCCCTCCTGGTCGGCCTTGGACGAGTCGAGCTCCCCCAGCACGTGGTAGTTGATCCTGGACTTCCAACCCTGCTTCGCGCCGTTCGGAGGCTTCCAGTCGCTGCGCTGCTTCGCATTCTCGAAGGCCCGCTCGATCCCGTGCAACCACCGAAGCGCGAGCTCCGTCGTCTTGTAGATGATGAACTCGGGAGGGGCCTCGATCATGGAGCGGTCGATCATCACCCCTATGAGCAGCATCTCTTCGGCCGCGTGGTTGCCCTCCAGCTGCTCGAGGCGGATGATCTCGCAGATCGTGGGCACGGCGGTCGCGCCGTTCCTGTAGAGGCGAGCCACCATGGCTGGAGCGACACGGGTCTTGCTGCCCCCGGGGATCGCCCGGCTCACGGTCGGGCTGAAGGCCTCCAACTTCTCCTTCGCCATGACGCGCATGTCCTTGAAGGGGTCGCCCAGACCTCGCACCGGCGCCTCGACTTCGGGATCCCTGGCCGTCACCTCCTGAGCTCGAGGAAGAGTGCCTGCTGTCGCTGCCTGGCTGTCGGCCTGGACGATCTCCTCGCGCCTGTCGAGTCGCTCGAGCAGCTGGGACATCATCTGGTCGTAGTTCGCGCCCGAGTCCCCCCCTAGGTTCCCGCCCCAGCCCGTTGACGGAGAGGGGGCAGGCCTCGTCGGAGGTGGCGCAGCTGGAGGCGGTAGAGGGGGACGTGAGCTCTTGATCTCCAACGCCGCGAGCCTGTCCGCCACCACGATCAGCTGCTTCGCCAACTCGGACTCGCTCGACCCGCCCTCCTCGTCGGATGTCACGGCACACTCGTCGCGGGGCGTCGAGACAGCCGACGAGCTGACGGACTCGGCGGGCGAGGGCGACAGCCGCTGCCGCAACGTAGGCGCCGCCACCTCCGAGTGCCCGCTGGACGATGGGTGACTCGAACTCTCTCGTCGCCCGCAACGCGCACCAATTACACCGACCACGAACATGATACCCACTGACATGTACAGCGGCTCCAACACCCCCGACTCGTGCAGCTCCAGGATGTGCTCGTACTCCTCCTTGAAGCCCTCGACCGTGTCGATGGTCTTCTTCGCGCTCGAGTAGTCCCACTTGATCCACTCGATCGCGTTAAAGTAGGTGCGCGCACGCCGCAGCGCAAAAGTCGATCCCGCGAAGCCTCCGAAGCTTCGCCGAGCCCACATGTAGCCGACGGTCTTGCTCGCAATCTTCGCAACCCAAGTCACGAAGTGGCGTCGGCGACCTTTCCTCATGGCGGAGTTCTCGCGCTGGTAGTCCCTCGTGATGGTAGCCGTCGTCGCCGACGCTCCCGACGATATGAAGTGGTCGGCCGCCTCTCTGCTGGACATGCCCGGGAAGCTGCCGCGGTCCACGCCTGCGAACCTGTTGGGCTTCACCTTGGTCGTGGACGAAGGATCCACAACCTGGGGCCGCCTAGTCGGATCGATAGCCACCCGGCGCTTTTCCCCCGCCGTCGCCGCGAAACGAGTCACCAGCAGCATGATCGACCCCTTTTTGTCGTCGGCCCGCGGCCGATCGTAGATTCCGCTCCATCTCTGCGGTGCCACGTGCTGCTTCTCATTCGTCTCGTCGATCTCCTCGTCGCTGTCAGAGCAGTCGTCGCCCTCAGCGCCGTCTGTGATGGAGTCGCACCACTAGCAAGATTCGAGACCTCGAGCGCCCCAGTCCACCCAGCCCCCCACCGCGTCCTCGCTGTGCAGCGAGGAACCCAGCACGCACGCGGCCACCCACGAGAACTTCGAGGCTGCCAGGGCCGCGCGGAGGGGCCGCGCGGTGGAGGTCGAGAGGCGGTCTCCTGCTAAAAATGATCCTGGCAAAGCAACCTAACAGCGATGTGTAGGAGCATATCTGGAAGCATTCCCCTTGAGATTCAGATGAGAATCCAGTTGTAGAATTGTGCTGTTCTCGCAGTCGTAGTCGCATTCGCGATGACAGTCGCAGTGGCAATGGCAGTCGCAGTCACAGCCTCAGCCTCAGCCTGCCTCAGCCTCAGCCTCAGCCAGCCTCAGCCTCAGCCTGCCTCAGCCTCAGCCTCAGCCTGCTTCAGCCTCAGCCTCAGTCTGCCTTCAGCCTCGGCCTCAGCCTCAGCCTGCCTCAGCCTCAGCCTGCCTCAGCCTCAGCCTCAGCCTCAGCCTCAGCCTGCCTCAGCATCAGCCTCAGCCTGCCTCAGCCTCAGCCTCAGCCTGCCTCAGCCTCAGCCTCAGCCTGCTTCAGCCTCAGCCTCAGTCTGCCTTCAGCCTCGGCCTCAGCCTCAGCCTGCCTCAGCCTCAGCCTCCTCAGCCTCAGCCTCAGCCTGCCTCAGCTCAGCCTGCCTCAGCCTCAGCCTCAGCCTGCCTCAGCCTCAGCCTCAGCCTGCTTCAGCCTCAGCCTCAGTCTGCCTTCAGCCTGCCTCAGCCTCAGCCTCAGCTTCAGCCTCAGCCTGCCTCAGTCAGCCTGCCTCAGCCTCAGCCTGCCTCCTCAGCCTGCCTCAGCCTCAGCCTGCCTCAGCCTCAGCCTCAGCCTCAGCCTCAGCCTCAGCCTCAGCCTCAGCCTCAGCCTGCAGCCTCAGCCTCAGCCTCAGCCTCAGCCTCAGCCTGCCTCAGCCTCAGCCTCAGCCTCAGCCTCAGCCTCAGCCTCAGCCTCAGCCTCAGCCTCAGCCTCAGCCTGCCTCAGCCTCAGCCTCAGCCTCAGCCTCAGCCTCAGCCTCAGCCTCAGCCTCAGCCTCAGCCTCAGCCTCAGCCTCAGCCTCAGCCTCAGCCTGCCTCAGCCTCAGCCTGCTCAGCCTCAGCCTCAGCCTCAGCCTCACCTCAGCCTCAGCCTCAGCCTCAGCCTCTTCAGCCTCAGCCTCCTCAGCCTCAGCCTCAGCCTCAGCATCAGCCTCAGCCTCAGCCTCAGCCTGCCTCAGCCTCAGCCTCAGCCTGCTTCAGCCTCAGCCTCAGTCTGCCTTCAGCCTCGGCCTCAGCCTCAGCCTGCCTCAGCCTCAGCCTGCATCAGCCTCAGCCTCAGCCTCAGCCTGCCTCAGCATCAGCCTGCCTCAGCCTCAGCCTCAGCCTGCCTCAGCCTCAGCCTCAGCCTGCTTCAGCCTCAGCCTCAGTCTGCCTTCAGCCTCGGCCTCAGCCTCAGCCTGCCTCAGCCTCAGCCTGCATCAGCCTCAGCCTCAGCTCAGCCTGCCTCAGCATCAGCCTGCCTCAGCCTCAGCCTCAGCCTGCCTCAGCCTCAGCCTCAGCCTGCTTCAGCCTCAGCCTCAGCCTGCCTTCAGCCTCGGCCTCAGCCTCAGCCTGCCTCAGCCTCAGCCTGCCTCAGCCTCAGCATCAGCCTGCCTCAGCATTCAAAATCATGCCTAGGAATGGAGTTCTGGGAACTCGAAGAACACGAAGTGGCCTACAGTTGGCTCTGGGCATTCAAAATCATGCCCAGGAATGGAGTTCTGGGAACTCGAAGTCTACGAAGTGGCCTGCAGCTGGCTCCGGGCATTCAAAATCATGCCCAGGAATGGAGTTCTGGGAACTCGAAGACCACGAAGTGGCCTACAGTTGGCTCCGGGCATTCAAAATCATGCCCATGAATGGAGTTCTGGGAACTCGAAGAACACGAAGTGCGTTACTGTTGGCTAAAAAGAGCTCCGCCGGATTCTCCCGGTTTCTGCCGGCTTCCGCCCGGACCCCCCTGGAGTGTCATGATGCTCTCTTTTGACCCTACTAGAAACCTATCAGCACAAGTTGTTAGGTAACTAGAGCCCAAACAACAATGGACTGTCTCTCGCAGCTCTGAGCACGCTCTCGCTGCCCCACCCCCCTCCGCCCCACCGAGGCCCGAGGAGGGGGGTCACATATTCGCGGCCCTACCTACGCGCACTCTCAGAAAGCCCGTTAACAAACATGTAGTGAGCGTCTTGCTCGCGCGAGGACCTCGCGCTCGATCGCAGGGCGTTTTGAGGGCTGCGGGCGGCATATGCGCCGCGCCCATCTGCTTGCGGGATGGGTGCCCGGAGCCCCCAGGCCGTATCAGGGCCAGTTCCGGGAGACACACGGCACGTGCACGGCGCTGCGGCTAATGGGCTCTCTTTTGCTCTCAACCCAATGCGCCCCGAACAAGATCCGCGGGCGGCGGCGAGGCAAAGCGGCAGCACTACGACAAGATATCCCCTATTATCTTGCACGACGGGCCCAAGAGAAGCAGGCGAGAGTGCGGGCCAGATCGCTACTGGAAGCTGGGGAGCCGTCGCGAAGTCAGGGTCAGTCTTGACTTTTCCATTTGAAGTGGGCGACCGCAAGGAGACCCGAGGGCCGCCGTCTTATGGCTAGATCGTCGGGCCAAGGTTTCACTACTCAATTGTAACTCGTTCTGTTATATGGCTGACAACATGGATGGTCAAAAAGAGGGGCTGACCGAGAGATGGCATCAGGCAGTGACAAGAATCTACCACACGAAGCGCCCGCGGCTGCTACAGGGTAGTGGAGACAGGTAGGCATGCTCTCGCATTGCTGTACGAGAATGGGCAGACAGCGTGGAGCGGCAACTCGAGCAATGATAGCGAGCGCATCCACGCAAAACGCTGACGGCCACGACAGGATAGTGGACACAGGCGAGATCCTCACACCTCCACCCTCCCTCCACCTCCCCCGATGCAATATGTAGATGACAACTGTAGAGATGGCAGCGAGAACCTGCTACGCCAGCGCCCACGCCCGCTACAGAAAGGTGGACACAACCGCATATCTTCGGTTCATCCCCTGACAATCTGCAATGCGAGGGAGAGAGAGGGGGGGGAAACCACATGAGCAAATTATCAGACTCACTAAAGGCAACATAATGGCGAGAATACACATCACCACCCAAGACACCACTCGCATTCATCAAACCCCGACAGACACAAAACACTAAACAGCTCGGTTGGAAGGATGGAGGGAGGAAGTCTTCAGGGGGGGTGATCATGGATGGGGGGGCGCGCAGCAGGTTCCTCCATCACGACCCGGTGCAGGCGGCCCAGCCCCCCCGATGCGCGCCTTTCCGCGCTGACGGAGATGCAAGGAGTAGGGACGCGTGCGTGCTTTCGCGGGGAGGGGGGGGGGGGGCGTGCAAGCACACGTTCACTGTGTTGCCGTTCCCGACGCAGTTCTCAATTTCTTGATCTGTGTCGGTACCGATCAGGCAGCGGGGCGCAGGTAGGGTCGACAGACGAATAGTGCCGAGGCTCACTTGCGCAGTGGTTCCCGTCTGGAAGAGTGGGTGCAAAAGCGTTTTACATGTGATAGTGGCACCGCTCAGTCTCGCCATTTACATGTGGGAACCAGCATACAAGTAAATTGCTAGATCGACACATCTGGTACTCGGTGATGTCTTTTCCGGTTCGCCTCTCCGCTCACGAACCGTTCTCGTTGCTAAGAGAAGTTGCGCGTTGCAGCGTGAACATTGTTGGGAAGCTGCTCCCAGCAGCATATTGTAGAGCATCCAGTTTTTGGCAGGCTCGCGAAGCGTGGCTACGACAGCATTTTTCTGATTTTGCCAACCATCCCCATCAAGCACGGTGCGAGCTTACGTTGATGATGACCCAGCGGTTTCTTATAATTTCTGGCGTGACGCGTCCATTGTCCTGCGCGCGTATACCTGCGAGTATAGAGAGTGGTTGTGGTTTCTGGTTTTCGCTTCAGCGATGCGAATCTGTTCTTGCTTCGTCGTGAGAGGCTTCAGGGCATTAGTTTCGACACTCGGCCCAAAGCATGCTGCCAGAGTGGGCCGGCGCGGAGATCCCCATGGTTACCACTTATTTGGGGTACAAGTGGGCCCAGCCAGATGCGAGGTCGATTGGGCCCAGTTGGTGGCGAAGTATTCCGAACGGGTTCGTCTGTGGTCGGAGCTTTGGCTAGAACCGCAGATCAACGCTCGGGATTCCAATGCGTTCGGTTTGGCCGCTTTCAGACCCAAGGCTCTGGCCACATCTGCAGAGGAGGTGCTCCAAATCGTCGTTGCTGCCATCCCTGGTGCGCGCTCGGATGGTGGGCCGTGGGTCCTCCAAGACGGCCGCACTCACAGATCGCGCAACCGCGTGTCCTCGCGCAGCCGTACGTAGTGCTTTTCTTGTCTTTCAGCACTTCCAGTCACATGGCGAACCCGCGTGAATTTGTAGGAGAACGCGGCCCAGCTTGAGTCGTTTCCGCGCCTGGCATCGAGCCTTCCATTCCACCTACCTTCTAAGTCTCCACCCAGTCCTCCTCCTCCTCCTCCTTCCTACTCCTCCTCCTCCTCCTCCTCCTCCTCCTCTTCCTCTTCGCGTGTACCCTCGAGCGTGCCTTCAGCGAGCGCGGACGCGGCTGGAGGCGCTCGGCATGTTCCCCGCGGCGGCGCGGATGTATCTGGAGCCGCCGTTCGGGGGGGGGAGGAAGAGGACCATCATTTGCTATGATGTGCAGGCTAAGGGTTGGCCAACCCGACCCTGACCCGAAACCCTAAGGCTCTTTGGCCAAGATTGCGACTGTTCCTCATTCTCAGCCGCTGCCTGGGCGCCTTCCTTGAGGAGTTGGCCGTCGGTGGTGTAGGGGAGGGGGAGGGAGGGAGGGAGGGAGGGAGGGAGGGAGGGAGGGTGGAGGAGGAGGAGAACAATTGTAGGCCCAACGCGCATCAGGAA